TTTCACACATACAGAATGGGAAGCGACAGTCTAGGAAGGAGTACTGCAGAAAGGGATCTAGGGGGTCATAGTGGACCACAAGCTAAATATGAGTCAACAGTGTGATGCTGTTGCAAAAAAAAAGTAAATATGATTCTGGGATGCATTAACAGGAGTATTGTGAGCAAGACACGAGAAGTCATTCATCTGCTCTACTCTGCGCTGATTAGGCCTCAGTTGGAGAGTTGTGTCCAGCTCTGAGAATCACACTTCAAGAAAGACGTGGAGAAATTGGAGAAGGTCCAGAGAAGAGCAACAAGAATGATTAACAGTCTAGAGATCATGACCTATGAAGGAAGACTGAAAGAATTAGGCTTGTTTAGTTTGGAAAGGAGAAGACTGAGGGGGGACATGATAGCAGTTTTCAGTTATCTAAAAGGATGTCACAAGGAGGAGGGAGAAAAATTGTTCTGCTCAGCTTCTGAGGATAGGACAAGAAGCAGTAGGCTTAAACTGCAGTAAGGGAGGTTTAGGTTGGACATTAGGAAAAACTTCCTGTTAGGGTGGTTAAACGCTGGAAGAATAAGATGTCTAGGAAGGTTGTAGAATCTCCATCTCTGGAGATGTTTAACAGCAAGTTAGATAGACATCTGTCAGGAATGGTCTAGACCAGTGATACACAACCTTTTTTAATTTGCAACCCCCAGAGCTGGGAAAATTTTTGTTGAGCAAAAGAACATTTTGTCGCAGCCCCTTTAATTTAAAGTGCCAGTCCGTTCCTCTGCCATTTCCCCTGCCTCCGCCACATGTACGTCGGGAGCCAAGCCAAGAAAACAAAATGGTAGCCAGCCCGGCGCTGTGACCTGCCAGGAAGATAGCCACGACCCCCACGGGTTGCGCACCGCTGGTGTAGGCGGTACTACATCCTGCCATGAGGGCAGGGGACTGGACTCAATGACCTCTTGAAGTCCCTTCCAGTTCTAGTGTTGTATGATTCTTCTGAGTAGATGAAGATAAATGCCATTCTCATATACAGCCGGTCCCCGAGTTGTGAATGGTCGATTTACGACTGTTCGCATTTACGACCAAAACTCCCATTGAGCGGTTGTAAAGGTGGTCCCTGAGTTATGAATGCGATCCGTGCTTACGAACAGCGCAGTTGCAATGTAACTCAATGGGGCCCAAGTTACGAACATTTCAAGTTATGGCCAAGTGTTTGGTCTGTAACTCGTTCGTAACTCAAGGAGAGGCTCTACATTTTAATCTTGAGGAGCCTAATGACCTGAACTGGACAGCTGTCTAAACCTACGTAATGACTCATGTTAACGCAAGGAAATATTAAGAATTCAAGTCATCCAAGAAAGCTGAAGCAGCCTGGAATATGTTACTTGAACTGAATTCTGTGTGTGTGAATCTTTGCATCCTTTGTCTGGGCAAACTCATTATGTTATGTTTAGTAATGTGACACTTATTCTGGACTTGATCTTAGACTGAAAATTTCCTTTTCTAGGAAGTGACATGATTTGTCTCAATAATGCAGATCTCAGGCTTCATGTGTTCCTGCAGAAGTTTCTGGGATCCAGAATAAGACTTAACAGGAGATTTCTGGTGTTACACTGAGACAAGGGACATCATTCTTTAATCACCTAATCCTTCTTTCCAGCTATATAAGGGGTATCTCTCAAGTGGTGTTTACTCGGCAGAATGTAGAATTGAGCATGAATCTACAGGAATCCAGTTGGCTAATGGCAAACCCACATATGCTTTCCATTGGTTAGACTAGCAATGAGAGATGCAAATTCTAGTCTGGGTAAATGGACAAGAAAGGAAAAGAAAGTAAACAACTATTAATAGTTTGGTACACCTCCAACCCACTGTTAATGGTACAATCAATTTATCCATAGTCAAAATAACTAACTATTTTGTTTTTGTAAGGCAAAAGAATATTTTTGCCTTTTCTATTTAAAATGTATATTTCATTGAGAGCTGAACCAAGCCCTATCCAGGTAAAAGTGAGTTTGACTCATACATCAACGTACATCCTTATATGTTAAAAATTAATTGAACTCAAGTATATGAAGTACGGTCTTTTACTCTGGATGGAAATTTGCCATTTATTTGTGGTAGGGTTAATAAGCATGGGGAATTTCTTTCTGGTATTGGGACTAGCTGGTGGAAAGCTCAAATGAGCAAGAAGAAAGATTGTCTTATTATAAAACAGAGGTGGAGTTTGTTTAAAAAATTAAGAAGCATAGCTTGGAAGAATGGATTATAAGGTGGGCAGAAACCTGGCTCAATAGTCAGGCTCAAAAAATAGTGATCAGCTGCTTGATATCTAGTTGGCAGCCAGTATCAGAGTACCCCAGAGGTCCATCCTGGGGCTGGTTTTGTTCAACATCTTCATTAATTATCTTGATGATGGGATGGATTGTATTGCACCCTTACAAGATTGCAGATGACACTTAACTGGGGGAAGAGGTAGATACATGGGAAGGCACGGATAGGATCCAGAGTGAGCTAGACAAATTGGAGGACTGGGCCAAAAGAAATCTGATGAGGTTCAACAAGGACAAGTGCAGAGTCTTGTACTTAGGACAGAAGAATCCCATTCAAACCTTCAGGCTGGGGACTGACTGGATAAGAAGCAGTTCTGCAGAATAGGACATAGGGATTACAAGTTGGATGTGAATCAACAACTGCCAAGAAGGCTAACAACATATTGGGCTGCATTAATTAGAGCATTGCCGGCAAACTGAGGAAAGTGATTATTCCCCTCTATTTGGCACTAGTGAGGCCACATCTGGAGTAAGGCCAGTTCTCCTCCCCCCCACCCGCAACTACAGAAAGGATGCGGACAAATTGGAGAGAGTCCAGTAGAGAGCAACAAAGATGATGAGGGGGCTGAGGCACATGCCTTATGAGGAGAGGTGAGGAAACTGGGCTTATTTAGCATGCAGAGGAGAAGGGCGAGTGGGGATTTGATAGCAGCTTTCAACTACCTGAAGGGGGAGGAGGAGGTCGCAAAGAGAATGGAGCAAGGCTATTCTAATTAGTGGCAAATGACAGAACAAAGAACAGAACAAAGAGCAATGGTCTCAAGTTGCAGTGGAATAGGTCTAGGTTGGATATCAGGAAAAGACTACTTCACTAGGAAAGTGGTGAAGCACTAGAATGGCTTGTCTAGGGAGGTGGGTGAAATCTTCATTCTTAGAGGTTTTTAAGGCTAGGCTTGACAGAGCCCTGGCTAAAATTATTGGGGCTGATCCTGCTTTGAGCAGAATGCTATGCTAACTGACCTTCTGAGGTCTTATCCAACCCTAATCGTTTATGAAAAACTCACTACAAAATTTTAAGTGTGACACTGATGGCCTGTTTTAATAGGTACTGACTGACCAAAACTACTGTCATCACTAAGAGCTGGAGATGCTCAAAACCTTTGAAAATCAAGCTATTAATTTATCTGTCTCAGTTTCCACATCTGTTCAAAAGCGATATGTACCTCAAAAAGGTGTATGAAATATTTTTTCCTGAATGCTTAGAGATCTTCTGATGGATGGGCCTAAAAAAGAAAAAAAAATGAAATGTGACATTAAATATATTGAATGCTACACAAAATCATTAATGGGTAAATGTTCACTGTGCATGAAATCAGTGAAATGATTCAGGCTCCTGTTGACTTCAGTGGGCTTTAGATTAACACCTGATCTTTGCAAGAGACATAGGAAAGGTAATACAGGCCACTGTTTTCAGGATAGAGACTTTGCTAAGTCCTTGGTCACTTAGATCCTGAAGGCATTTAGGAGCCTAATTCCCATTCACATCAATTGGAGTTAGGCTACTAAATAACTCTGAGGCTCTGGACCATAGTCCCCCATTTCATTCAGAGTTTGAGAATTAAAGGCTTTTCCCAAACTTCAGGATATGAATCAGAGGATATAATGGATTATGTCATTTCTGTCCATATGGTTCCTAAATTAGGAAGAACAATGATTTGTCTGATGCATAATGCTCATTTGGCATGTGCGCAAAAATAAATAAATAAATAAATAAATAAATAAATAAAAGTAGTACTGTATATTACTGAATGAAGACTGTGAAGGACCAAACCTTTTTCATGAACAGAATTTTTGTTTGAAAGTACTGCATTGGTAAGAAGATTAGGATTTGTGGAATATGAATGGATTTCTCCTATAAATAGGTCAGAATGCTCTGAAATTTTTAGAACACTGTCATTTAAAAAGAACAGGGTTAAGTAATGTCCTATAACGGTATTAGGCAAGTTATTACATTGGTATTTTTAATTCTTTTCACCTCGACTTAGGAAACACTGGAGAGTAGTTACTCTGAATGACTCTGTAGAATAGTTATTTCGAAATAGCAGCAGTCGAGTGCCCACACTACCACTCTTTCGAAATAACTATTTCAAAATAAGCATTATTCCTCGTGGAAAGCAGGAGTAGTTATTTCAAAATAAAAAAATGGGCTCGGTAGTGTGGATGCTCCACTTTTTATTTCGAAATAAGGGGAGTTACTTCAAAATAACTCCCTAGTGTATAATTCCCAGGGCTAAGTGTATACCTGCATCCTGTAGATACAGTCAGATTGGTAAGAGCAGTTTCCCTCTCATCTCCCTTTTCACCAATTAGGAAAGACAAAGCAGATTAGCAGGGTAGAATAGGCAGAGGGGAGCTTGAACTGTGGCTATCTCTAATGTACCTGTTTAGTAATAGGAGATTCCTTGAAGTCTGTCAATCTGGTGTCTTTGCCAAATACTTGAATTTTCTCTTTCTTTTTTTACACACACACAGAAAGATACACTACATGAAGAGTGACATGTTCTTGCAGATCTGTTGTTCCTTCCTCATACTGCTGGCAAGTTCTCATTCTCTTTCATATGCTAAAATGCTAAACAGTATGCCAGTAGCCCAACAATAATCTGCTTCAGTTTGGAAGTGCAGGAATGGATTTCTGTCATTGATATTCAATAATTGTGGTTATATTTGAGGTTTTATTGTTCCTAGGAAAGAGACAGTGGCTGCTCGTCATCACTTCCTGGACAGTCATCTTCACTCATCTCTCAAGCCATGTCCCCTGCTTCACCTGTGATGTTCCAACCTGGCCCTGGTTACTTCAGCCAGTCAGCAGCAGCAGCTGACAAACCTGGCAAGAGACTGACTCCCTGGGAAGCAGCAGCCAAGTCTCCTCTTGGCCTAGTAGATGATGCATTTGGTCCCCAAAACATTCAGGAATCCATTGCTGCTAATGTAGTATCAGCTGCCCGCAGAAAAACACTGCCTGAGCCACCAGATGATTGGAAACAAAGGGTTTCCTGCATGCCACCAGCCCCAGGTATTCATACTAACCTGGCATCATTTGGAAGGAGGCAGTCTGGTATTATGTCCCCACCAAAAAGCACCATGTCTGCCCCCAATTCTACTTTCCAGTGTGGCTCTCGGCTTCAATATGCATATTATGGTCAGCGATCCCGAACAGATCCTGACATGATGTCCATGGATTCTAGGTCTGACTACTGCCTGTCAATGGCCAACTCAAACTACAATCCACATCCAAGAGGATGGAGGCGTCAAACATGAAAGGTAGAAGAAGCTGCCATATTTTCCCTCCTGCTTTCAGTTGGAGGAGTAAAGTGACCTGTCTGAGTATCTTCTTGTTGTCTGACAGTTTCTGAACTGAAGGAATGAGGAAGTTGTGTAGAATGATGCAGTCTTCAGGATATTTCAGGGCTTTCTGTCCTAGATTAGATTCAATTTTATCCCCAAACTGCAGTTTTGTTTTTATTAAAAAAAGATCAAGTTTGCATCTCAGCATAGGTGGGATAATTAATGTACAGAAAGCTTTAACTATACAGAGTACAAAAACATTAACAGAGGAGTGAATGAAATATACAAAGAATGAAATAAGGCTTTTTACATGATATTTTCTGGTGGGCTCTCTAGGATTTCTGGTATTTTTGATAGCTGAATTTTAGGGCACTGGACATACACTTTAGAGAGGATTATTTTTCCAATGAACTCCAAAGTTCCAAAAGATTTAATCAGAATACAGATCATATAATTTTTCTATAGTTTTTAAAAAAGGGATTCTAGCAAATTAAATCTTATAGTTTTACTATGATAAACACACGGTGCTTCCATAGACATTTTATCTGAAGCTCTGGTACACATATGTTAATATCATGTAATCATGAAGTTCAGAGGTATTTCAAGAAAGTTTGGGGTATAATGCTTCATTGTAAGCCTTGGTTGTTGTAATTACCCACACTAGCTTGAAAACAGCAGGAAAGAGAGTTAATTATTATGAACCATTGTTACAATGCTTGGAGAAATATTTAATATAGCTAGGTTACATTGAAATTGGGTTACGAGGGAATATTGTAATAAACGTCAGCCTTGTGAAGGTGATGAACGATAACTACATTTATTTGGTTGTGAAATGTTTAGCTTGGTAAACATTTAGTGCAGCAGATTCTAATACTAGTAATTGAATACCTGAAAGGCTTTTGATGTGTAGTTTCATTTTGGAAGACCAAAATAGTTTATATATCAAGGACAAATCATGTTACACGCAGGAGGTATGTGGAATATGGTTTATGATAGGTGTTAACTGGTCTGAGTCTAGTTAAGACAACACATATTTGGAGAATTCAAGAAGGAGTGGGCAATAATTTTTGAGGGGGGGCCACTCCGAGAATTTGGTAAGTGGTCAAAGTCACACTCTTCCATGATATAAATGGAGGAGGTGTGGGGTCTGGGATGGAGGTTGGGTGCAGAAGGGAGCTTGTGGTAAGGGACTGGAATTCAGGAGGGGGCTTTGGGATCTGGAAGGGAGTTTCAGTGAAAGAGGGGATTGTGACCTGGGGTAGGGAACTAGGGTGAAGGAGAGGGTGCAGGGTCTGGAAGGGGGGTATGGGTGCAGGAGAAGGGGTGCAGAAGGTTTCAGTTAAATGGGGTAAGGGTGCAGGAGGGGGGAAAGAGAGGCTGGGGTACCAGAGGTAGGCTCTGGCTGGGAAGCACCACAGCTGAGTCTTCAACAAGGGTCCCTATCTTCCATGCCCCTGCACTGGTTGCAGGGTCTGTGTGTGGCTGAGTCTGAACACTGCAAGCTCGGAGAGGGGTGGGGTACATTGCACGCTGCCTTACCTGCAAATAGGCAGCTCCCATTGGCGCAGAAACTGACCAATGGGAGCTGCAAGAATTTGCTGGGGGAGGCAGGTGAAGCATACAAAGCCTCTTTTCCCCCACGGGCTCTATTTTACCTATCCCTGTCAGAGTATAAATAGGTTTTGATGGATTCGGAGAACTGGTAAATAATTTTGTTACAGCTGGTACATATCTTACATTTACAGTTCACTTAGTTAATAGTAACATATGGGCTAAGCCATATATTGCAAGCTTTCTGGGTACTTTAGATAGTGTTAGGTGTTAAATGAATACAGTTTTATAGACTACACCACACCATCCTCAGTTGTTTGGCATTCTTCAAATATCTATCAAGCACAGCCACTTGAAAATATTGCTGAAACTCAGTTGAATGCCTGTGCCTAAGTGTAAGCAGAGCAATTTGAAAAAGAAAAATTAAACTTCAGATGCATAAGAAAGCATACAAAGAAACCATGTTATAACCCAATATAGTTTTGTGTTGTGTTTTTGTTTTGAATTGTATTCTTTATGCTTAATTCTGTTTCCAGTGTAACCATGTCCAGAAAATAATAATTTGGCCAAATGCCATATCGGGGGGGGGGGGGGGTTTCTTAATCTGTACAATAGCTTTGTACTTCCTTTGAAAAGGATATCATGCATTCTAATGGAATGTGGAAATGTGGTTAGAAATAAAACACTCACACCTAAAAAACCTGCAAAAATGTCCGTATTTTAAAATATTGCAAAGATTATGTTGTGAATCAAAATTATATCAAATGTGGGTCAGTGCTGAACACATTTACTGTAAACACGTGCTGTAAAATTACTCATCATGTGCCTTAGTGTTTGCAGGACTGAACTCTAAAAAAAATTTAACAAACGCTGTATATAAGACCCAGAATAATTCAACATGGATGTTATTATGTAAGTTACAATATTTATACATGCTAACTTTTCATCACTATCCTATTCAGGGCTAGGCTTTTACACTTAAACTTTTTCATCTCTCACTGAGTCTAGCCAGAACTGGATCATGTACATCGTAGCACCAGTCCTGTGGCCATTACTCTGAAAAATGTTTATGAAATCAATGTCAGTGTAACTAGCTTGAGTAAGAGCTGCAGGATGAGCTGCAGTACTGCCTTCTGTGTTTTCAGTAGCCACATAACATTAGGATTTTGAAGGGGGAAGAGACTGGTTAATAAAGACACCACGTCTAAAGAGAATGTATACCTATCACTCTTAGGGTATGTCTAGACTACATCCCTCTGTCGCCAGAGGGATGTAAATTAGACAAACCGACATTGCAAATGAAGCGGGGATTTAAATCTCCTGTGCTTCATTTGAATAAAAATGGCTGCCGTGTTTTGCCAAGTCAGCAGTTTGTCGGCAAAAAGTGGCTGTCAAAATGGGGATTGGGCAACAAAGAAGGCCTTTGTCACCGGATCCTGTAAACCTCATTTTACGAGGCATAAGGGATCGGCCAACAAAGGCCCTCTTTGTCGCCCGATCCCCGTCTTGACAGCCGCTTTTTGCCAACAAACTGCTGATTCTGCAAAAATGTGGCGGCCATTTTTATTCAAATGAAGCGCAGGAGATTTAAATCCCCACTTCATTTGCGATGTCAGTAGGTCTAATTTACTTCCCTCTGGCAACAGAGGGATATAGTCTAGATATACCCTTATACTGACAAATAGGAATACTTGTTTCCAGAGGACAACAGGTTCATACAATGTTCTTATTCGGGTCAATGGAAATTTTGTCATTAACTTAAGTAGATGCGGTGTCAGGCCTCAGCTATTAATATTATAGTGCATACGGAGCTTTCTGAAGCATCACTCTGCACTTTTTAATCTTCCTTCTTTCCCTTATCCCTTTCTGGCAAAAATATTTCAGTCAAAATTAGGGTTGCCAGATAGTTTAACAAAAAATACTGAACACCCCCCGCCCCCAGGAAAAAAATTCTGTCGAGGGGGAAAAAAAAGGGGAGGGAGACCAAAGTTGTTAAGGAAAAAAAAAATAAAAAAAAATGTTTTAAAAAAGGAGGCTGACCCTTTAAGATGTCTGCCATCTTGGGCACCATTTTTAAACCCTGCAGCTCCGACCCAGTAAGCACAGGGAAGCCGGGGGGGG